GCCTGGTCCCGGGCCCGGCCTAGCCCTTCTCTGCCGTGCGCCCTTCTCCAGACCGGGCAGTCCGCCCGTCAGCCCGTCGGTCCCTGTCCGTCTAGCTCTGTGTGTACATTGCATTTGTCTGATACGTGTCTCCGCCCGTCTGTTGGTCTGACCGTGTTTGTCCGTCTGTCTCTTGGGATCGGCGTCGGCCCATCCATGCCGCGCGCCTACCCCATCAGTCTGGCTCACGCTAACTCCCGGGCGCTCCGCCCGCACGCCCCAGACTCTCTGGGCCCAGAGCGGAGGTGGGCACCGGTGGGAGGAGACCCGGACTTTCTCAGCCGCCCGCGAGCGAGGCTGGTGCGGGTCGTCGCCGACCACTGGGTCAGATTCTGGGCTGGGAGACCAGGAGTTCCGGGAGGTTCGAGTGTGGGTGGGGACAGTGCCTGGGTGCTTGGGTTCGGGTCCCTGGCCCGCCTCTGCTTTGTGGCTGCCGCCAGCGTAGGGGAGGGGCCTGACCCGGGCCGGGAGGCCCCTCTCCTTTCCCGTTCCCCAGCCCCCTCCTTCTCCTCTTCCCCTCATTAAATCTGAGGTTCATTCAGGCAGCCGCCTCCCCCGGCCCCACACAAAGAGGCGCCGAGAGGGAGACGGGGCTCTGGTGGCTGCTGAATCTCAGAGTTGCTTTTCTTTGTCCCTGATCTGTGTGTGGTGTGAGGAGGGGGGCGTGGGGGCGAGAGCTGGGGTCTAGAGATTTACTTCACAGCCATTTTCTGTGAGTGAGATCAGCACAGACTCGCTGTAGAGTGGGTCCCTGGACATGTCTCTTGTCCTCTCTGGGCTTCTTGTCCCATCTGTGATGTGTGTGTGTGTGTGTGTGTGTGTGTGTGGGCTTCTTGTCCCATCTGTGATGTGTGTGTGTGTGTGTGTGTGTGTGTGTGTGTGTGTGTGTGTGTGTGTGTGTAGGAACCAAGAGGTGCCTGAAATTCCCCCAGTCCAGTGAATTGAAGTTTGGGCTGGCGCTCTGCCCAGGAGGGGTTTGCTTCCTGGTGAAGGAGGGAGAGCTTCCTGGCGTGACCAGATTTCCACCTGGTTGCACCTGGCCAGGCACAGGCATCTCTGGGTGGCCTGAGGATGTCCAGAGGTGGCCTGTGGGTTCTCTGTGCCTTGGTCTCCCCATCTGTAAGCTGAGCGTGGTACCAGTGCCCCTCTGCTGCTGTTGAGAAGAGGAAGTGGGGCGGGCGATGCAAGTGCCCAGCCCAGGGCACAGCTCCTGGTGTGCAGTCCCTGAGGAAGGGTAGGTGGAGAACTCCCTTTGTGGAAAGCCAAGTTCTGGTCTCTGAGTCATGGAATGCCACGATGCTGAGACCAGACTGGCCTGCTCAGACTGTCACCTTCCAGAGAAGACCGGCCCAGAGGGGTTGGCCGACTTGCCTGAGGTTGCACCGTGACAACAGGGGGCACTGCATAGTCAGAATCAGTCTGGTGCTTGGTCCAGGCTTCCGCCCACACCTTCCCTCCCCTCCCCACATCCTGGTTGCCTGAGGGTTGCCTTTCACTGAATCCTCAAAAAGACCCCATGGGACAGTTAATACTATTCCCATTCCACAGAGGAGGAAACTGGACCAAAGAGGGTTGGTGATTTCCATGCAGGCACACAGTACTAAGTGGTGCAGTTGGGCGTTCCTGGACAGCGTGACATCCTGTTGCAGTGAAGAACTGCTTTGCAGGGGTGAAGTTCTAGTGGCGGTTCCCAAGTGTCTTTAGGAAGAATGTTTTGGGGCACATGGGACACTTCTGTACCCTCCCAGCTGTGACACTCCCCCTCCCACCACGGGTTGTGCCGCCCAGCGTTGGTACTGG